CATAAAAAATAATGTAAATATAAGAAATGGACTTAATTTTTGATAATTCATGAGGTATATGAACCACAACGCTTAACGCCTGCATATTTATCATGAAGCGCTAAGGCATTTATTGAAATATGCCTTCGTAAAGCGTCGTAGTTTATGTACCTAATGGATTTTCAAAAAAATTCAATTTAATCTATGAAACACTATTTACTAAAAAAGGAGAGATTTTTTTAAATGATAACATATACTTCTCTATATCTTCTTAAAATGTATGGCATCTTTTTTGGTGATTATTTATATTTTTTAACTATATTCATTGGAAATGAAATGGTGAAAAGTGGAAATAAAGAATCATCTTAATAATAGTCCGTCTAGTGCGTCCCACAAGTACTATGGAGTTGATAATGAAAAGATACTAGAGTTCTTGACAATATCTATCTATTTTTTGGAGATCAGGTCTCAGGATCATGAAACAGACTTACACTTAAGGTTCATTGATACTCTGATAAGAGAGATAACTCTTAATGACATAAATGACTATCATTCCTTTATAGATTTGTCAAGTTGAAGTGTCTTTTTTGTCCAATTTTGACCCGCAAGCTATGCTATGATTGTTTCTATTTTACTTATAAAATATATTTCTTTTGGAAAATCATTAAGCTAAAAGCAACATTTCATATGATTGAGCAGAGGGTTTATGAACCTTAAGTCAAATTTTTAATCGCCTGTAAAATGTTTATTAATTATTGAAAGAATCTCTAATTTTGCAGATAACAACACTTTTGTTAAGCAATATTTAATTTTTGTCTACTCGACTTAATCAAAATTCTAGTACAACGTGAATATTTTGACTTAAGTTAAAGATGTTTCATGATCCTGGGACCAGTCTTCCAAGAATCTGTTGCAACTTCATTGGAATTCAGATGAATTTTAATTGTGCTCCTTTAAAGTTGACCTGTTTTTATATTGATATGAGCAGATTTAATTCAAAACCTTTTCCTCGAGACAAAAACCTCTGCAATGTCCTGCAATTTGTCATTTCGTAATATAAGGACTTTTATCAATCTACAATAGTGCTTTTATTTATATGCCACCTAGATATATCCCAGTGAAGTGGAAGTAAATGACTCCATAGAGTCTGTTACATCTGTTTTATATTTGGATATTTATCCGGTTGCTTTCATTTAAGAAATAAGGTATCATTTTTGTGAGTGTTATTGGGATGTAAAACGGGTTGGTCACGTGATCAAATCCCATAAAGCCCGAAGGGCTTTATGGAAGATTTGATCATGTGCCAACCCGTTTTACATCCCAATAAAACTCAAAAAATGATACCTTATTACTTATATTTACATTTGTGACTTATTCATACTTTAAATTAGCCTGGTTGTGACTTTTAACGTGTGAAATGCATTATTTTTCAAACCCAACGGCATGTATGTAATCCACTGAACGCGTGTCGACCCTTTATGACGTCACTGAGAAATTACGTCGAACGTTTATCCATACGCACATCTATGACCTCTTGACCCCGTACCTGTATTTATACATTTATAAATACGCTTGCTTTCAGTAGTGTTATATAAAGGAAAACATTTGCAAATGTAAATATTGATATGTAAGCTCAATATATCCTAGTGAACTCGAAATATAGACCATAGAGTTGGCCCCATATATTTGGATATTTTACTTACAAGATGTTAATGTATAATGATTAACCAACAACTAAACTCTATGAAAAATGGACAGACGTCTACTTTTCCATTGTCGACCTTACCTAAAAATATAGCAATACTAATCTTTCACCATCACCTGTATATGATATTGATTTAACGGTACGATAAAGTTTGTTTTTAATAGGATTTATCTTAAAATGAATTATTTTTGTTTTGATTGGTCTCCTTCCTATGTCTTTTGGCCTTCCAGTTTTTTTATCGGCATAATCTTTTTCACTTTCATGAAATATATGGAGATAACAAACATTATTATATGGTTGAATAATTTCCCTCTCTCTGATTGGCTGAGATCCAACAATGTTAGAAAAATAATAAGTTTTATTATATGATTGAATAATTTCCATCTCTCTGATTGGCTGAGATCCAACTATGTTAGAAAAATACTATGTTGTATTGACCTGCACGTGACGTTCCAGGTCAATACAAGGATTTATTTCCACTACATTGATCTAAAAATAGATTGGGAAATTCCAAATTGATACAAATTGTTTTGGAAAGCTATTTAAACAACTATGATTTTTTTTCATGTGAACAGAACATAAAGAATAATATTTTAGGGTGAGGGTGGTAAGAGGGGATGCAGGGACCCCCCTCCAACACTTTTACTGAACAACAATTTTTTTAAAACTTTTTGACAGTCTTTTTTTCCTGATAATACTCCTTCCTTACAAAATCTGTCCTATAAAATAGACTGACATTATATATTTTTTCATGGCAACTAAAATTGATTAAAAAAAAACATTTCAAATTGATACGACTGGTAAGGTTTATTCACATTTTAATTCTGCTTCTCTCTTGTATTTGGCTAGGACTTAATTAAATGCAAACAAGTAATGAGATGTATTATTTTTTTATCAGTGAATCATATAATAAAACAATTATTGCTGTTTTTTCGGTCAATACAATGATTTAGCCATCTTCGAAGTACAATATTCACCTCGCCCTTCGGGCTCGGTGAATATTGCACTCCTCAGATGGCTAAATCATTGTATTGACCTCAAAAAACAGCAATAATTGTATAATATTGACCTACTCATGACCTTCCAGGTCAATATAAGGAATTATTGCAGGTCAATATAAGAAATTATTCCCTGTTCCAAATTTCCTTTAACAATGTGTTCTTGTTGAAATTTCTCGTTAAAACTTTCAATAAAAGCAAAAACAGTCTTGTAGGAGTTTGCTATCGTTTAATCATATAATAAAACAGTTATTGCTGTCCTTGTCATGATCGGGAAATAACGGAGAAATCCGTCGTCAATTCAGGAGTGAAGTCACATCTGCAGTGTGCTCCTTGTTATAACTGGGAAATAACAGAAAAATCTGTCGACAATTCAGTGTGTAAATAATGGCCTAACAATTAGTATGAAAAAGTCAGTCAGCGTTTGACTTAGTGATAGATTGTAGTTACTGACAAGGTCATTGTATCGAACATAGAACTTACGAAATGATGATTATAAATGGGATTGCTAATTTGACTTGCTAAACTCACATCGACTTCAAAGTCCCTGTCTTTCCAATGCAGTGGCAAATGGTCTCTGTATTCCTCGTCTTTCTTGTGTTTTTACTAGAAATCTGTCTGAAAGTTTATCTTTCACATCTTGCTGAACATGTTTTATAAATTAAATCGTTTTAATGATTGAATGCATATATTTCCAAGCTTTCTCACTAACCGAGATCCAAACTTCAAGAAATGATACTATTACACATGTTTACATGCGCGAGAGACCTTTCTAAAAAAGAAAAAAAATGTGTAATGTATATTTTTCATTATTTTCCAGAGCGTGACTAGATGTGTGCTATTAAAATGACTTCTCAAAGACAACAAAGTTATTTTTGTAGAATGATATCCATTCTAGACCAAAAATTTGTTGTTTTTACAAACAAATTCCTTTCAACGACCATATATTTGTGAAACGCTACACTTCTGTTTCATATTAGTATATTTTACTTAAAAAGACGTTAATGGCAAACTAACAACCAAGCTGTATTATAAACGCGATGACTTGATCTTTACAATCGTCAACTTACCTTACTTATGCAGTAATATACCTTCATCAGCTGCATAAGGAGTTTATGTATCTCAGTTGATTCGATACGCAAGCGCACGTATGAGTAATTTCTAAAACGAGGGAAAATATTGCCAAACAAGTTGTTGAAGCAAGAAAATCAGCAGTCTTGTTTAAAGTCATCATTTTGTAAGTTCTATAGTCGATACAATGACGTTGACAGCAAATACAATTTATCATTGAGTCAAATGCTGGCTGACGTTTTTCATGTATGAACAATTTCTAAAACTAAGTAAACTGACAAACAAGTTGATGAAACAAGAATATAAGCAGTCTCGTTTTAAGTCATAATTCCGGAAGTTCTATGGTCGAAACAATAACTCTGTCAGCAAATACAATTAATTTTATCATTGAGTCTAAAGCTGACTGACGTTTTTCATACTAATTGTTAGTCCATTATCCATGCACTAAGTTGACGACGGATTTTTCCGTTATTTCCCGATCATGATCGGGATCAAAATTATGATCAAGGAGCACACGACGGGTATGACCGGTCGGCAGGGGATGTGCACTCTTCCATGGAACTTTATCCCACCTCCCATGTTTTGGAGGTCCGTGTTTGCTCTGCTTCTATTTTGTATTGTTTAATGGACTTTTGATCTTGAATACTAGTACTGTTCGTTATCTCAGTATATTTCATTTAAAAGAAACTACATAGTCCTTTAACAACAACATATTTTTCCAAATACTGTTTCAGTTTGAAATTCAAGTAATAGCAGTTGGAGGGCTAGCGTTGGGTTCGACGGTCGACATGGGATACTTACTCCTCTTTGATGTTTCCAGAGGTTTTTGGCCTTTTGATAACTGTCTATTATCTTTACTTATTTCACTGAACAAAAATATTGGAGAGATTATTACCAATCTACTATCCGTGAATCCTAGGCTTTTTCGGATATTCGAGCAGTATACCTGGGCCGTTTTTGTTTTAATTACTTATTGATTAAAATTTTTATAGGTACACGTACTTACATATTTTTATTTCAATTTTATAAAAATGAAAGACATTTGATGTATTTTCTCTTGATAAGTCAACAAGTTCAATAAACACGGAACCAATTGCTGCAGCACAGAGAGCGAAGTACGTCACACGACTTAATTGGAGGATGAAATTAAAAATATTCTTTGTTGAAGTCCATGTTTGGATATCAAAATCGTGGTGAAACTGAAAGAGTTAACGTCATTAAAAGATCGTATATTATTTATCTTAAAAATGACCACCGATTTGGTAAAAGAGAATATAATGATTCGTGAAGAGAACTTGATCACACCGTCTACACTTGATGCAGGAAATACTACCCCCGGTAACACCACTCCAGACAATCCTGCCCCCGGTAACACCACTCCAGGCAATCCTGCCCCAGGTAACACTACTCCAGGGAATACTACCCCCGGTAACACCACTCCAGGCAATTCTGCCCCCGGTAACACCACTCCAGGGAATACTACCCCCGGTAACACTACTCCATGGAATACTACCCCCGGTAACACCACTACCCCCGGGAACACCACTCCAGGGAATACTACCCCCGGTAACACTACTCCAGGCAAACCTGCCCCTGGTAACACTTCTCCAGGCAATTCTACCCCCGGACCCTTCTCTAGAGTTGATGGGATGTCTTTAGAACCTCACACAAAGGAGACTTGGGTTAGTAAAGGGCCCCAGAACATGCTCATATACCAACAAGGTAAGTTGTTTGAGATTTTATGTTTTACAAAGAGCTGTACTTTCACCAGAATTTCTTATTATCTTTAAGGTACCAATTTATAGAAAGTTGTATATTTTGGCAATTACTAAATGAAGATAGAGCGGTACAAGATAATAATTTTTTTAACAGTTGTAGATAATAGAATTTTCCAAGTTAACAATTTTCAATTCATTACAAACCGTTTTATCTAAGTTTGTGACTGATTATATATTTTTTATTTCATGACAGATAACGGTCAAATTTGGGCAATAATAGGTTGTGTGATGACTATTGGAAACATAATTGCAGCATTGGTTATCTACACTTACAAGAAAAGGTAGAGAGAGAGAGAGAGAGAGAGAGAGATTTTGATATATAAATATATCAAACTATACAATACCAGGAAATAATATATGAAACATACACGGCTTTATAAATGTATAGATATCAAATCAATAAGGAAATGTATTAAAATAAACTGTTGCAAATTACTTTTATTATCATTTATTAGCATCAGTCAAAGTCTCAAAGGCGATTTTACAACTACCGGTATTTCAATTTTAAAGAAAGAAAAGTTTTTTACAAATTATTTTATTTTTAATATCAAAATGCTTTATAAGGAACAGGATGGTGAGATACTTTGATATTATTTTTTCACAGGAAACGGAGACTTAGACAAAGGGGGATAACTCAAATTGCTGGCAGTGTTCCAAGTGATTCTCATTACACCCTGCCCACCAATGCGGATCCCCACTATCTTCAGATCATGGACAACCCAGAAGGTACAAAGAAAAGGCTCATCCTAGGTTTCTTAAAGTTTTAATTCAGCGCCATTTCTTATGTATTTCCCGAGCTTAGGTTTGAACAATTGTTCAAATTAGAGTTCAAAGTCACTTTGTTGTAATTAAAAAAAAAATTAAGCAATCATTTCCGATTGCCTTAATAGGTCTTTTGAGAGATACTTTGTCTCCCTTAATATGGACTTAGAAATATACAGTTCATTTTTCTTTTGAATTCACAATGTTCAAAGTTTCTTTGCGAATATAGAAAAACTCTATGCCAGTTATAACAAAGAGCTACTCTCTTGCACCTTAAAGTCACAATTTTTAAGATATATTCTGCTAAGTTAAGTCTATCTATAAAAGATGCTATAAACTGCAAACATACAGAAAACAAGCCAAAAATCCAAATTATGGTTTAAAATCTTACAAAAATATATAATTCATAGAATAAATATATTTTGTTTTAAAAGACAAATGACATCCGGTGTAATAAATATTATACTTTTGTAGGTACCTCAGCTAGAAAGAGACAAAACTCGGACAACGATGGTTACCTCACAGCAATAGAACGGAACTCTGAGAAGAATTCTGGATACACAGATATTGTGCATTTCTCCAGCAGTCAACGGTCTAACTCCTACCAGGAAATCGCTGAAGTTAACGAGCTATCATTATCTCCCCATTTTCCAGTTCATGGCACGCGCAGTTTGGATCCGCCGATGCGTATACACAAGAGACGAGACAAATATCTTGTCAATATCAATATTCCGTCCGATCCATTGGAGGAAAGTGTCAGAAAGAGCTACGTCTTGTCGCCAGAACTGATGGACGAAGGACTTTTCGAGTCTCTAAATAACTTTACAAAGTATTTCACATCTTTAAGTGTCAAGAAAAATAAAGAAAACTCTTACTGTGATGAAGACAGTACATCAATTGATGACATTACAGAAGAAGAATTGGATTTGAAAGAAACGAAATTCAAAGAACATAGGATGAAAAACACAGGGATAAAATCTCAGACATGTGCTCAAAAATCGATGACGAGCACAACATACATCAGGATGACATCAACAGCACTCGAGAATCTCAAAAGGAAGTGAAACAATGTTATGGAAACGTGCCTATTTTCAAGGCTGTGGAACACAAAGAACAAAATGTAAGGAAAAAAGAAGAATTGCCGGTGGATGTACCCGTAGAACAACAAAGTGTCTCTCACTTCATACGGCATCAGAATCGTACTAGATTGAACGAGAAGCTTCGAACCATTGCTTCAACCGACTTTGACCAGTCTTCGGTATCAAGTAGAGGAGTCCTATATAATGAGAAAGTCGGAATGGTGTCTCTACCAAACAAGGAATGTCTTGAAAACAGAAAGACATTGAAAGACACAGAGAGAATAGACAATAAAGATGGCAATCAGATATATACCTTTTCTTCTGAAAGGGTAACTGATTTGAGTAAGGAATCCGGTGGTATAAATGACAATTTAACATTAAAGAAGAGCCAAGGTTTGTTGTTGGCGCCAATGAATTCATTTAACAGTGATCACTCGCTGAACAATTACATCCGGAAGAATGGTATTCTTCTTCCGGTCAAGATCGCAGCAGATGACAATTCAGTAGCCGACAATTCGTACAAAAGAGATACCCTATAATGTGTTGATGAATGTTAACGCTCCATTTGTATGTATTTAAGCCATCAAGGTTAGAATAAAGAAAACCGTCTCAAGGTGTTTGTCTTATAAACATCAAATATGATGACGTCACTCTTCCCCTTCCAACCCATACTGCATTTGAGGTCATGCAGCTCATCATTTAGGTATATCGACGACGTTTTGTCAATTAACAATGGTTATATCCATTCCAGCTCATCATTTAGATATATTGACTGCGTATTGTCAATTAACAATGGTAATTTCCATTCCTATATCGATACGATATATCCCGTGGAAAAGATACCACAGAGTCTGACACATCTGTTTCATACTTGGATATTTTACTTGAAAAAGACGTTAATGGTAATCTAACAACCAAGCTCTATGATAAACGTGATGACTTTAACTTTTCTATCGTCAACTTCCCTTACTTATGCAGCAATATACCTTCATCAATGCATACTGCTTTATATCTCTCAGTTGATTCGACACGCAAGAGCTCTACGTATGAAAAAATTTTAAAACGAGGTAAATTATTGACAAACAAGTTGATGAAACATGAATATTAGCTGTCTCGTTTAAGGTCATTATTTCCTAAGTTCTATGGTCGATACAATAACCTTGCCAGCAAATACAATTTACTATTGAGTCAAATGCTGATTGACGTTTTTCTTTCTAATTGTTAGTCCATTATTTATACACTGAATTGACAACGGATTTTTCCGTTATATCCTGATCATGACAAGGAGCACACTGCGGATGTGACTGGTCGGCAGGGGATGCTCACTCCTTCATGGCACCTGATCCCACCTCTGATGTTTTGGAGGTCCGTGTATGCTCTGCTCCTATTTTTTGTATTGTTTTATGGACTTTGATATTGAATACTGTTCGTTATCTCCATATCCTTTATTATTAGCGTCAGAAATCTTTTTAGCTATTTTTTTTGTTCTGATGCTAAAATAGTTTTATCTTAAAATATAACATTTCTTTCGGAAAATCTATTGCGTTTATGCAACAATTTGTATAATATAATATGAACCTTAAGGGATAAATTGGACTGTACAAGTGAAAGGTTTGAAGGTCAAGGCCGACCGATAATCTGGTTCTAATGACGTCGGAGAAATTATTTATTTCACGCAGACCGATGATCTCCATGCAACTTTTTACTACCAGAGATAAACGAAGAATCAAATGTTATTCCTGATTATGATCAGTTAAAGATTAACAAAATTTTGGTTAATTTGAACTCTAGTATTCCTGTCGAATAACACCGTGGAAGACTTAACTCTCTTGTGAAACCAAAGTTTAACAACTCCTAGCACGCTATAGCAGAAGAACATTTCAGAAATTAACATCTGTTTTATTTGTCACTTCAAAAGCGATCTCATCAATATACGACGGATTGGAGGTTATTGAACACGACTGACATTTAATTGATTGGTATAGTGAAGCATCCAGAAAATTTCTTCTTAGTATGTATTAGACTAATTTTATTTAGTGTGCCAGTAATTCACTCACTTTAAAGATAGTACCAAAGATCATAGTATGTGTAAAACATCCCATTACTAGAAATGTCTATCATTTCTCCTTTGATATTCGTGACAAGGGCCTTTAAAGATGACCTTGACTTGTTTTAAAATCAGTACCTTTTCAGCAAATACAAATTATCATTGAGTCAAATGCTGACTGATGTTTTTCATACTAATTGTTAGGACATAATATACACACTGGAATTCCGATATATCCTGATGTTAGAGAAGTTAAATATTTGACCGTGTACCTCTACTTGTACGTGTAAACCTAGAAGTGATTTTACACGTACAGGTAACTATCATCGTGTTCTGTTTAACAAACTGCACGTGTACCGGTACGTATAAAACGTAATTTCAGCAAGGCACTTTACAATCCATTTGTATAAAATAAATCTATGACTTAAAATAAAAAAGATGCATTGGATGTATGTAATAAATTCTCAACTTAATACCAAACAACAGCTGTAAAATATATATTCTGTAGTTTAAGTTTAAGAAGTACAAGTTCTCACCTACGAATCTACACGTCGTGTACAACTTGTAGAATTACGTGGTATGCAAAACTGATAACGTAAATCGCATTCAATTAGAGGATTTCTCTAGCTACACAATCTCCGTGGGGATCCGGGCTAGAATAGGTCCTCAGTACCCCCTTGCTTGTCGTAAAAGGCGACTAAATGGGGCGGTCCTTCGGATGAGACCGTATAAACCGAGGCCCCGTGTCACAGCAGGTGTGGCACGATAAAAATCCCTCCCTGCTCAAAGGCTGTAAGTGCCGAGCATAGGCCTAAATTTGCAGCCCTTCACCGGCAATGGTGACGTCTTCATATCAGTGAAATATTCTGGAGAGGGACGTTAAACAGTATACAATCAATCAATCAATCTAGCTACACGTAGACGTCCACGGTCATCTGCTTAACCCCTCTAATTACAATTAGGAGCACACGACGGGTGTGACTGGAGGGGATGCTAACTCCTCCATGGCACCCGATCTCACCTCTGATGTTTTGGAGGTCCGTGTTTGTTCTGCTCCTATTTTGTATTGTGTAATAGACTTTTGAGCTTGAACACTGTTCGTTATCTCTGTATACTTCATGCGTTCCTTTCTTACACGCGTTTATTTCCACAATTTACTATAGTCGCCCGAGTGGCGCAGTGGTTAGAGGGTCTGCTCTAGGGTCGCGGAGTTAGGAGTTGACCCTTACATCGCAGGTTCGAATCCCACTGTGGGACGTGGAGACCGGTCCTTTGGATGAGACTCACTCACTGTATAAACCGACGTCTCATGTCGCAGTATGTGTTAGCACGAAATAATCCCTCTCCGCTCAATGGCCCAGAGTGCCGAGCGTAAGACAAAAATTTGTAGCTCTCCACCGGCAAGTGGTGGCGTCTCCATATAATTGAAAAATTCTCAAGAGGGACGTTAAACAACAATCAAACAAAATAATTCTTTAATCCTCATTAAATAGTTAGCTTAATAAACAATGCTTGTGAATATTCTATTTTCATATTAGGAAAAAAAGTGATGTGTAAGACGGGATCAACGAATATGATGTGTTTGATGTATTTCAATGAAAATGTGAAAATTATAACACCGCCTCGAAAACAATGATAATTAAATACTAGTATGTAAATGAAGTATTCAACAGTATTCAAGATCAAATGTCCATTCAAACCATTAAAATCGGTAGAAGAGCAAACACTGAACTCTAAAAACATCAGAGGTGATATCAGGTGTCACTGAGGAGTGCACATCCCCTGCATGCTGGTCACATTTGCTGTGTGCTCCTTGTTATGATCGGGAAATAACGGGAAAAATCCGTTATCATGTGTTTAATGAAATCGTTTCGGTCAACAATGGTTTGCTAAAGTAATAATACAGTGTTATGATCGCTAGCATTCAAGATTACATCTAATTTAATAAATCATATAGCAGTATGTGTTAAAATGAAATGAATGACCTCTTTATATTTCTTTACTTAACAATTCCTCGATTTTCGACTTATCGAACATCTACTTATTTTCTCGTGATCGGTAGTTACTGAGTTTTGATCCCGTCTGCGAATGACTTAAGTAGATAAAAAGGGTAGCAGCTATTCTTTCGCCATGCACTCGGCACTTTGAAATAAAAACTGCGGGTTTTTCCGCATCGTCGGAACCCACGGGTTTTCTCTCCGTTACACTGCATTTAAATGCAGTGTCGGAACCCACGGGTTTTCTCTCCGTTACACTGCATTTAAATGCAGTGTAACGGAGAGAAAACCCGTGGGTTCCGACGATGGTTTTTCCGATGAAAAACCCAGGCCCCGTGTCATGGCAGGCGTTGGCACGATAAAGATCCCGTACTGCGCAATGGCCCTGAGTGGCCGGGTAGCGGTCAAAGTCTGCATATGGTGACGTCTCTATATTAGTAAAAAAAAATTGAATGGGACGTAAATCAATATACTAATACTATCAATCAATTAATCTGCTTATTTTCATTCAATCTACAATTAATCTTCAAAGATTCTACAATCTTATAGAAAGATACAGAAGATAAAATACAATTACAAATCCAGAAAATCAAAACTTTATCTAAAATTAATGTAATAGAATTAGAATCTAATGCTTTACCGAGTATTTAGAATCTAATGCTTTACCGAGTATTTAGAATCTAATGCTTTACCGAGTATTTACATATAAATTGTATTACAGAGGGAGAAATGGAATATATGGAGATAACGAACAGAATTCAAGCTCAAAGGTCTATTACACAATACAAAATTGGAACAGAGCAACACGGACCTATAAAACATCAGAGGTGTTTCAGGTGTCATGGAGGAGTGAGCATTTTCTGTGTGCTTCTTATCATGATCGGGAAATAATGGAAAAAATCCGACGACAACTTGACAGCATTTGACTTAATGAAAAACTGTATTTGCTGACAAGGTCATTTTATCGACCACAGAACTTACGAAATGATGACTTCTAACGAGACTGGCGATATTCTTGTTTCATCAACCTGTTTGTGAACAATTCACCTGGTTTTAGAGATTGTTCATGCCAAAATTTAATTCTACAAATGGTATTGCAACTTTTATCTATAACTGTCTTACTAAGATCATTTGAATAACCTTTTTCCACGTCCTGCAGTGGTTTTCGGAACCACAAACGTGTGGAACAACCCTCTTGCGACTCTAGAGCAAAACGCTCCAAAGATGTTTCATAAAAAATATCCTTTTGAGCATCAGTTTTTTATTGAGGAGGCACGAATTGCTCAATGAAAACTACGAAAATTGTTTTAAGGACAGATGATACAAAAAATGGATGTCTGGATTGGTATATACCGATATATTTTTGGGCCTATTTCTGTTGTAAATGGTGCAAATAATCATTTTCAAAAATATTAAGAAGTTGTAAATCTTCTATGATGATCAAAATTGTATCTTTCACCAACCATTCTTCATAATCTATATAGATTTTTGTCAATTCCAATCCCATTTCTGTGAAAGTTTAAATGAAAAATTAAAAACTTTACGGTTTAACTTGTTCATTTTACATACATAAATTTGATTCAAGTTGTTATTTTCAAAATTTTTGACAAACGTTTGTTTGTATCATCTGTCCTTTAGATGAGCATTTATTAACTACTGTCATCTTTACTTTTATTGTCTTGTGTTGTGAGCAGAAACTACTCCTCAATTTTAGGGTGACGTGATGTTTAGTCCGTATGTACGAATATTCCAGGTCTGGATACGCTATTTCATGATCTTGTTTATACCTGATAAAATCAGAGAAAATATCTAACAAAAGCCATACATTTATAAATCCACAAACAAATTACTAATTAAAAAGAAACGACACAAAAGACTAATTAATTGCACCTTTATAAGGATTGTTAATCTACAAAACTTTTACTTTCAAATATCAATATTAGAACACTTTATTGGAATTCCAAAGAGGCTAAATCTACAATTAATTGTTATTGGAAAGAAGCACAATAACATTTACATGACAGACTTTGTTTGAAGTCAGAGTCATTTGGACGTTTGACCTTTTGAACCAGAAGTTTATAAATGGAAAGTAACTAGATGCGAAGATACAGGTGGATTAGGCCCTTAGACATCGTATTCTAATAAAGGTTTTTTTGGGGGGTACCAAAAATAGACAAAACAAATTAAATAAAGATTCATGAAATTTTATTTCTTTTTGAAAGCAAATGTGGAGAGAAATTGTAATACCAAAATATCTCTCAGTCGATCTAATGCCGCTAATTTACAAAATGCATTAAGGATCGTACGAATGTCGGCATGAAAGGTAACCGTGGAAAGGTTTGAAGATTCGTCTGTCTAATCGGATGTTACAGGAAGTGGGTGTCTTCTCAGTCGTTAATTCAATTAACATCAAACCTGAAAAAGATCAGTAATTAATATCGAAAAGACACAAACTATCGGGAGAGACAGCCTCCGTGAGTTGGCCATTTTATAAAAAGGGGCACCTGTTCACCTATCAGTAAATCCTGGAATCAACAGCTGATTTCATTACGGAGAGAAAAATGGATAAAACAAACAGTTTGTCAAAAAAGAAAAGTGCCACTTTTACCTTTCTAGAAAATGGTGAGTTGCATGGATTTCTACATTTTTCATTTACAGGTGAAATTGTTCAAATTTAATGAGAATGGAGTTCTGCACTTAAAGCGATTCGATCGTATTTAAATTGAATGCAATATGTTGTAAAATGCAAAAGTAGAGTTGTGCATCTTATATAAGCAGGAATCTAAATGATCTGTCCGAAGTCAAAAATTTTCATTAAAAAATCAAGATTCTCACCCAAAAATTTGAGATTATGGAATTGTGAAGAATCCTTGGCGTGGAAAAAAACAAATGGGTAGCAATATGAAAAATCAAAAATTGTTTTTGTACACAAAATGATGAAAAAAAAACTTTTCAAAAGTTTACAGTATGGCAAATCATCACGTTTTCTCTCAGGAATATATAAGTAAGGAATACTGATGCAAAATGATTTGAAAGACTACATACATTAATTAAAACATATGTAAATAAGCGTAAGTATATTTACGTTGATATGCCAGGAATAAATAAGTCCACAAATGCGAGTTGAATGGATCACAAAATAAATTAATCATCCGATGATTTTTTGTGAGTTAATCATGGTCCATTCGAAGAGAAAACCGAACGAAATATATCAATTCATATTCTAAAAATAATATTTTCTCAAACTTTCATAAACGGTTTCTTAATTTGATTAAATGATGCATCAAGAGAATTTAAATCCTTTTTTGAAAATTTGAATATATCCATACAAATAAACTAAATTCTATTTACCAATAAACCTGGATTATGAATTTTTTTTGGAGTGTTATATTTTACATATGTATTTAAATCAAGTACTTTTATCGAACGACAATCGATTAAAGAATAAAAAATGCTTTACTGATAGCCATTTTAGCTATCTAAGCGATGGTCGTATTAGAATATCTTTATATCGTTAATATAAATCTCCATTTCAAAGAATATCAGCAGTCTCGTTTAAAGTCATCATTTCGTAAGTTCTATGGTCGATATACTGTATACAGGGTTATTTTCGCCCTTTCACACTTGCAAACAATTTTGGCCCGTTTTAAATTCGCCCAAATGAGGGTAGGGCGAAAGGGGCGAAAATTAAACTGGGGCGAAAATGTCCCTGTATACAGTAATGACCTTGTCAGCAAATACAATTAAGCATTGAGTCAAATGCTGACTGAGATTTTTCATACTAATTGTTAGGCAATTTTTTATATACTGAATTGACGACGGATTTTTCCGTTATTTCCCGATCATAACAAGGAGCACACGGCGGGTGTGACCGATCACAGAGGATGCTCACTCCTCCATGATACCTGATCCTACCTCTGATGTTTTGGAGGTCCGTGTTTGCGCTACTCCTATTTTGTATTGTTTTATGGACTTTGATATTGAATACTGTTCGTTATCTCCATGCATATCCTTCATAGATAAAGTTTTGATTGAATGTAAATTTTGAAGATAACAAACAGTATAATTAATTTCAAATTATGTAAAGTATAATCATTAATTACTCATGATATTCTGGAGATCAGGTGCCGACGAGAGGTAAGCATCCTTGTTGACCTTTCAACCCCACTGTGAGCTCTTTATAATGTTCAGGTAGACGAAAATTTCAGTAGTCGAATTCAGTATACCTGTAAACAGAGTCCTAACAATCGATATCAAACAAGTCAGCCAAAAACGACCCAATGATAGGCCATATTTGCTTACAAGGTCATTAAATGGACATTATAACGACAATAAAATTTATGAAATGTTGACTTAAATCGAGTATGAACTGAAATCCCTGAAAGATCAATTTGAAAAAATGATATAAAAACAAGGGGGAAAAATTATCGTAAAATCACAAATTTTCGTGGGTTCAAGTTTTCATTGTTTGAGTAAATACTCTTAGTTCATGGGGATTTGAATTTGTGGATGAAGCATTGTTGAGTGTTTATGTATGTAACATTTTACATTTCGTGGTGGATATGAATTCGTGGGTTAAAACAAACAGTTTGTCAAAAAAGAAAAGTGCCACTTTTACCTTTCTAGAAAATGGTGAGTTGCATGGATTTCTACATATTTCATTTACAGGAGAAATTGTTCAAATTTAATTGGAGTGGAGTTCTGCACTTAAAGCGATTCGATCGTATTTAAATTGAAAACAATATGTTGTAAAATGCAAAAGAAGAGCTGTGCATCTTATATAATCGGAAACCTTAATGATTTTCCGGAGTCAAAACTTTTCATTAAAAAATTAAGATTCTCACCAAAAACAATGAGATTAAGGAATGGTGAAGAATCCCTGGCGGGGAAAAATTGAATGGGTAGCAATATGAAAAATCAAACTTTGTTTCTGAACCCAAAATGATGCCAAAAAAAAAACTTTTCAAAAGTTTACTGTAACAGTATGACAAATCATCACGTATTTACGTTTTCTCTCAGGAATATATAAGTAAGGAATACTGATGCAAAATGATTTGAAAGACTACATACATGAATTAAAACATATATAAATAAACGTAAGTATATTTATGTTGATATGCAAGAAATAAATTAGTCCACAATTTGCGAGTTGAATGGATTACAAACTAAATTAATCATCCGATGATTTTTTTGTGAGTTAATCATGGTCTATTCGAAGAGAAAACCGAACGAAATATATCAATTCATATTCTAAAAATAATATTTTCTCAAACTTTCATAAACGGTTTCTTAATTTGATTAAATGATGCATCAAGAGAATTTAAATCCTTTTTTGAAAATTTGAATATATCCATACAAATAAACTAAATTCTATTTACCAATAAACCTGGATTATGAATTTTTTTTGGAGTGTTATATTTTACATATGTATTTAAATCAAGTACTTTTATCGAACGACAATCGATTAAAGAATAAAAAATGCTTTACTGATAGCCATTTTAGCTATCTAAGCGATGGTCGTATTAGAATATCTTTATATCGTTAATATAAATCTCCATTTCAAAGAATATCAGCAGTCTCGTTTAAAGTCATCATTTCGTAAGTTCTATGGTCGATATACTGTATACAGGGTTATTTTCGCCCTTTCACACTTGCAAACAATTTTGGCCCGTTTTAAATTCGCCCAAATGAGGGTAGGGCGAAAGGGGCGAAAATTAAACTGGGGCGAAAATGTCCCTGTATACAGTAATGACCTTGTCAGCAAATACAATTAAGCATTGAGTCAAATGCTGACTGAGATTTTTCATACTAATTGTTAGGCAATTTTTTATATACTGAATTGACGACGGATTTTTCCGTTATTTCCCGATCATAACAAGGAGCACACGGCGGGTGTGACCGATCACAGAGGATGCTCACTCCTCCATGATACCTGATCCTACCTCTGATGTTTTGAGGTCCGTGTTTGCTCTGCTCCTATTTTGTATTGTTTTATGGACTTTGATATTGAATACTGTTCGTTATCTCCATGCATATCCTTCATAGATAAAGTTTTGATTGAATGTAAATTTTGAAGATAACAAACAGTATAATTAATTTCAAATTATGTAAAGTATAATCATTAATTACTCATGATATTCTGGAGATCAGGTGCCGACGAGAGGTAAGCATCCTTGTTGACCTTTCAACCCCACTGTGAGCTCTTTATAATGTTCAGGTAGACGAAAATTTCAGTAGTCGAATTCAGTATACCTGTAAACAGAGTCCTAACAATCGATATCAAACAAGTCAGCCAAAAACGACCCAATGATAGGCCATATTTGCTTACAAGGTCATTAAATGGACATTATAACGACAATAAAATTTATGAAATGTTGACTTAAATCGAGTATGAACTGAAATCCCTGAAAGATCAATTTGAAAAAATGATATAAAAACAAGGGGGAAAAATTATCGTAAAATCACAAATTTTCGTGGGTTCAAGTTTTCATTGTTTGAGTAAATACTCTTAGTTCATGGGGATTTGAATTTGTGGATGAAGAATTGTTGAGTGTTTATGTATGTAACATTTTACATTTCGTGGTGGATATGAATTCGTGGGTCTCTTCATACCTCGAAAACAACGAAAATTAAACCCCACAAAAATTTGTGATTTCAAAGTATATGTTCTACAAAGCAATGGTTTTTTGTGAGATGTGATTTTCTAGTTTCTTGATAGGAAAAGATCCAATTCTTCCTTGTTAAAATTTTCAAAAACAAATGTGGAGCATGTTTAAGATACGGGTTGTTTTACAGTGGCTTGGAAAAGGTAATTGCATACGAGGGGCGTTCAATAAATAATGTCATTGGGGCTCAGAAAGAAGCAAACGACGCTTTTCAATGATTTAGTCTTCATGATTTTACTTATTAATCTCTTTTAATTCAAACACATGTCCGTAACATTTTTTCTCCAATTTCTGATTGTTTTTAGAACTCATTTTTGGGTTTGACCCTTAGTATACTGGAAAATGGCAGATCCAATGATTTCCTGGACTTGTTTTTTCCTTCTGAAAGGTGTTTTTTTCAAGTTTGGAAATAGAAACAAGTCAAAAGGTCAAAGATCTGGCAAATATTGTTAATGTGAAAAAACATTAACTTTCTGTTTATCCCGAAAACCCCTTTACTCTTTAGGGCATGCGGGTTTGAACGCTGTCATGAAGAAATTCAACTAGTGGATTCCTGATTCTGGGTCCTTTCTCTGATAAACCTTTCGATTTCTTTGCAAAAAACTGCTTTCTAGACACCTCCAGATATTAAACTGTCTCCCCGAATACGAATTTGAACAACAATACCACTAATATTTAAGAAAATTGCATTTAAATCTGTCTTTGTGCTCTTGCAAACCTTTGCTCTTGACAGACCATCGCCGTTTTTATTCAGTACATCTTATGTTAAAATTTGTTTTAATGGTTTTAAGCAATAGATTCATGTTCCAATATCTGTTTGAATGTAAAACAAACGTGGATTACTACAATTACTGATATTTTAAAATAATTGTTAAGACTTTTGTACACGCTGTCGTTTTCACTCATTTTTCAAAATACAGGGTGACCTTAGAGTACCAAGCTTAATTACTGTCAAACGTTTCTTAAAAACAGTGTAAACTACTCCCGATATGATGTCTATCAAATTTGCTATGTGTCTTAAAGTCAATCATACAACATCAAATATTATTTGTTGAAATTTGACATACAGTACATAAGTTGTTATAATTTTTGTTGGCAAGGAGGGTACCCATTTTTGATGCCCATTATATAATTTTTTATCATTGAAATCCACCTGCTCATTTGTCCATAAAACAGGCATCGGTTACTGTAAATGTCACATATTTCAGTGAATATTTATTTGGGATTTTTAACAAGTTTTACAGCAGCTTTAATGTAGCTTTTATTTTCACTCTAGTTTAATGATTCTTTACCATTCATTTATAATGCAGTGTCTCGAATAGCCCTTGTTTCCCAGCTTCTCACGATAAAACTATGTGATGAAAAGTGGTCACATAAACTGTTATAAATTCATTAAAGATTCAATAATGAGAGAAAGTCAAGCTTTATGTCATATGACTACTATGTTGTATGTCATCGAGCTAATGACATTATTTATTGAACGTCCCTCGTATTTTTATAATAAAAGCAGTAATTGAAATTGTTAATAAGAAAGAAATAATCTTCACAAGTCAATGTTTTCTAAGGAAGCCGTGTGTCAAAGAATTAACGAGGTAAAAAAAAAATGATTTTCAGAATCCTTAACCAGAGTTGTCGTTCCTTACACATACGTCTTATCTTTGAAATGACACACTACATCTAAACTTGATGGGGAGAGGGGGAGAAAAATGTTTTAAAGGATGACATTTGTTCCACTGGAATGTATTAATTCAAACAAAAAGTTCACATTTGACAATTTAATCATGATGTTAAAATTATATCTTGATAAACTTGAGAAAAATTCTATCTCTTAACATAAAGTTCTTTAAATGGTTCCGAAGTTTTGGATGCTGAGTTTTGAAATTAATTAGTTAATTGAAATTTGATTTGCCATAAAATATTTTTTTAGATAGATAACTTTTGTAGATGGATGCATTTTTCTTTTACAAGCACAGAAAACAATGTGATAATCTGCTTTAAAAAGCAACACTTCGTTATACATGTTTTCTGATGTGAATTAGAAATGCATGATAGTTGATAGTAAATATTACTTTTATATATACCTAATATTTTTATCTTAATGGTGAGATAAAAATTATTGATCTTTCAATTCACCATATAAAATTTTCTTCATATCATAAGACCTAATATTCATTTCAGAAAAAGCAAGTTTAATGACATATTTGGGAATAACGAACAGTATCCAAGCTCAAAATTCCATAAAACACTACAAAATTATCAGCTCCCCTTACTTATGCAGCAAAATACCTTCATCACCTGCATACGGAGTTTACATATCTCAATTGATTCTGCAGCATGCTCTATGTATGCACAATTTCTACAACGTGGTTGATTATTGACAAATTGCTGAAACTAGAATATCAGCAGTTTCGTTAAAAGTCATCATTTCGTAAGTTCTATGGTCGTTACAATGACCTCGTCAGAAAATACAATTCATCATTGAGTCAAATGCTGACTGAACGTTTTTCATACTACTAGTTATTGTTAGTCCATTATTTACACACTGAAATAACGACAAATTTTTCCGTTCTTTCCCGATCATGAGAAGGAGAAGTCATGGAGGAGTGTGTGACCGGCGGGTGTGACCGGTCTGTAGGGTTTGCCCACTCCTCCATGACTTCCGATTCCATCTCTGACTTTTTGGAAGTCTGTGTTTGCTCTGCTCCAATTTTGGATTGTTGAATGGACTTTTAAGCTTGAATATTGTTTGTTATGTCCATATATTTCAGTTCAAAGATATTCTTAATATTAGAAACAATTTAACAACTACGACAGTCTTGTTTATTTTAAAAACAAATATCTTACAGATTACTTCTACTCCTTAAGATATCACTCTCACTTTCCAAACTTTAAATGGATATCTTAAGGGACAAGCTACAGAAGTAAATCAGAATATAGTTGCTTACTTTGTAATGTTCAAGGTGAACA